ATACATATAAGCCATCTTGTATATATAGACACTCTACTGCAAGGGCAGCATCAGATTTTCTTCCCTATGGGTAAATTATTATAGTCTTTTAAACAACTCACAGCATTGAGTGAACTATTCTGAAGAGCAGTGCCTTCAAAGTTTCAGAATATAAATATCTGCTGATGGCACAAAATTATTGAGGTAGACTAGGACTGTCAGAAGAATTGTAGAAAGGCTTAATGAAAATCATCAGTTAGGTGTCAAATGATAATTAGCTGTGTATATATATATTTATAAATATATTTATATGGCAAAAGATGCACATACGATACAACACTCCTAACTCCACTACTGACTAACATAAGAGTCTCTGAACTGATGAACATCATTCAGGAGTAAAACTTGGGGGCTGTGACAGTTTCATGGCAACAACAGCTCAGGAGTGACTTCTGGGAAAGGCAAAATGGAAAACCTCCTCCTGTCCCTGTATAAATCCATGTTTTCCTAAGTCCTGGATACTGTGTCCTGTTCTGGTTCTTTTCACACTTCTTCTTAAAGAATATCTTAGAAAAGTGATAGGGCTGAGAAAGATTCAAAGAAGGGTAACAAGATAATCAAAGGCCTAGTGCCACTCTAAAGAAAGAAGCTACATCTCTCTAGTTTCAACAAAGGATGACTGTGTGAGTCTTACTGAGATTTGGAAAATAAAGCAAACTATAGAGAGAGTGAATAGGGATTGATTGATTCCCTTTTTCTCTTCCCAGTACAAAAGCAAGAAGGTACCAGATCCAGCAAATGTCATGTTTGGTCAAGGTTTGTCTCACTTCACAGGCATCCACAGACCTTCTTGGCATAGGCTGATGTGGATGTTCATGTGGCTTCAGGAGCAGACTGCATAAGATCAGAGGTTAGAAATTAACTGAAAGTTATTAAATGCATAAAATCATTCTGGTTCAGGTTTTCCCCCAAGCTACAAATGACTGAAAGCAAGAAAAACACTCATGAGAAGAGTGGTATATATCATACACTCTTCCTGAAGTACTCATGTTTGGCTACTGCCAAGGTAAGGATAAGATGGCCATGTAAGCTCCTATATTATCTGACAAGTCTCTTAAGCCTTCCAAGTATTCTATTAGCTGAATTAATGCTATGGACTATGACCCAAAAATAATATGTCTCATACTTTTAGACCCAATAGCATATTTATTATTTTTATTCCCAGCAATGGTGTGAATATCAAAGGGCAGTCTGCAGCAATCATAGAATTGCTGAATAGTTTGAGTTGGAGGGGACCTGAAAGATCATCTAGTTCCAAGCTCCCTGCAATGGACAGGGACACCTTCCACTATAACAGGTTGCTCAAAGCCCCAGCCAACCTGGCCTTGAACACTTCCAGGGATGGGGCATCCACAATGTCTCTGGGCAACCTGTTCCAGCACCTCACCATGCTCACAGTAAAGAATTTCTTCCTAATATCTAATCTAAACTGACCCTCTTTCAGTTCTTTTTAATTTTGTGTGTGTAGTTAGGACACATTGTGTTGTTGTCCAAATGCTGGCATTTGTGCCTGAGGAGCAATTTTGATGGTTGCAAAGAGAATGTGGTGACAGTGAATGTGGGTGTGTGTGCCTTGTAGATTGAAAAAGTATAAAAATGCAAAACAGAAAAAATAACATTGATGTGACTGTCTCTTCCTATTCTTAAACATAGTGCTAGAGACAGCTAAAATAGATAAAAATCCATAGGGAAGTTCTCATATCACAAAATTGGGGTTTGTATCGCATACTTTCTTAACATAAAGTATGAAGCATTGCTACTGTAGCAAGAAGACTTAGATGCTTTATATGTAGGTGCGTGTAGCTGCAACCGGTCTATTGGTAAGATTTAGAAAGAAAAATTAACTGTTGCCTCATTTATGTGCATAGCACTAACTTTAGCTACTGGTTCTCTATGTTTGAGAAAATTGGGTCATGCAGAATTTCAGGCAATTTTGAATCAGGACTACCAGTATAGGTTTCACCTACAATTCCATATTGGCTCATAATTCTAAATAATCATTCTCTCAGAAAAAGTTGATGACGTGTCCTTAGCACTCTCATACTGAGGCAGTAACCTTTACTCTGTATTTTTGGTAAGCAGTCATAAAGTTATTATAATATACCAGAAATTCCTGTTAGAAAAAAATATCATTTGCTTCTGCCACTTAGATATATACACGATCAAAGGAAATACATGATGACAAATAGAAATGGTATTCAACACCATAGGCTACTGACATCAGGACTCACTGCATATGACTGATGCAGATCTCATTAAAAGAAAATTAGGAAAGGAATCAATTTAATCTGGAGTAGAACTTTAATTAGCAAAATTAATAGGAACTGTGAAATAATGACCTGAACTGTGAAAGTGAAATGGTCAACTGTGAGATGGTGCTTTTTTTCCCTTGGATTACAGGAGCTGGGTTTCTCAGAAGTCACTTTCCGACCTAGATTGCTGAAACACCACCACGCTCACTGGCAGTTAGAAGACAGAGCTTCTTTTCACAAGCAAATGCTATGTAAGAATGATTTTTGCAAGCTCAGTCTCTCTGTCTAGTACAGCCATCAGGCAATCTATGTAATTCATGCTGAACCTCAGATGACATCAGCTCTACAACTGGAGTTCATCCCACTGAACCTCAGGCCAGCTTGAATTTTACATCAAGAATAAGAGGGACAGGGCTATCTGGAGACTCCTCTACTGCCATGCCATTTAATCTAAAGAACTCTTCGATACCCCAGCAATGGACAACAACAGGGAGCTATTGAATGGATGGAGAGGTGGACAAGCAAATCCCACCAGTGGTGCTCTGTGTGCCCTGACCTTCACCGCAGTTAGTGGTAGCTGTATCTCAGCAGCACTATACTCCTAGATTGCTCAGCTTTGAAGCAGTCATCTCTTCCTCCACTTTTTATCTCAGAAGGGGAAAACTTTGCAACATAAATATCATGGAAAGGTAAATAAATGAAAAGTTTAAAATGGCCCAGCGTGGAAAAAACAAAATTTGTAGCAAAACACAAATTTGTATCTATGCATCTGGTGGGAGGGCCTCTAGCCAAAGGCTTGGAGATCTGGCAGATGAAGACCTTTGAGCTGTTGTTTTTTGTGGGAGTCTAGGAAACTAACATGATGCCAGTTGGAGGCAGAATCTGGAATCCTTTATTGGACATACAGGCTGATATTTTAAGGATCTGGGGTCTACATATTCATAGGGGGGTGAGGTACTACAAACAGGGAGTTTTAAAAGGATGAAGTAAAGGAAAAACTCACATTACACCTTTTGGGTTTAGCACTTACATCATGGGGAAAACCCACTTATCTTAGGACTACATTTTTGGGGATTTACATGGGGGAGAGATATTCAAGTTCACAGAATACACAGGATACACAGGGAGGGAGAAAACAACAATGGATTTTGTGCAGAGGCTTGCTAAAATCAGAGTACAGTCTCTCTGGGTCTGGGCAGGACATTCCAAACCGGTGATACCTTGTCTGGTCCTCAAACTGAGGTTTTTCCCCCAGCTTTCGTAGCCCAAGGCCTTTTGCTGAGACCGCTCAGACTGCATTCTGCAGGTATTTGATTTTGGGATCCTACAGTTTTTAATGCTCATTTTTTGTTAAGATGTGTTAAGAGCTCAGATGGTAGGAATACATAAACATTATACTTGATGAAAAAAACTTAGTACCTCTTCCCCTATATAAAAGCAAGCAAGAGAGTGTGAAGTAACAAAAACTTGAAGTATCAATTTCTTCTCATCTAGGCTGAGTTCCTTTTGTTCCTGCTACTTAATGTCCCCTGATGTTTACTGAAGAGTCCTAGCAATTCAATCATTCAGCTCTCACTTTGCTACAGAAGTTCACACATGCAACAGTACAAAATGCCATTTTTTCTTCATTGGTTTGTGTGAGGAATATTTAATTACACAGTAAGTCTGGGAGAAGTATTCTGAAGTAAAGGAGGAAACTGTACTGGATGCCTTGCATTGTCTTACTCTACATCGATGCCAGATGCCCAGGCTGCTCAGGGAAGGGGTTGGGTCACCATTCCTGGAGGTACTCAAAAGACATGTAAATGTGGTGCTCAAAGACATGATTTAGTGGTGGACTTGGCAGTGCTGGGTTAATGTTTGGACTCGATGATCTTAAAGATCTTTTCCAAACCAATTGATTCTATGATTCTAAGTCCACATGTTCTGTGTTTGAAATGATAATTTTTGAAATGCAAGAGATAACGTCATGAGCTATAGCAGCTGACCGTCTCTGAAGTTTCTCTCAAATCTCACAGAAACATGAAATAATTCCTAAACATGGGATTTCCATCCCTGGGACACAGGTGTCACACATCCTGTTAGTTACGGTGTAAAGAATGAACAGTGTTAAGTGCTCTATGAAAAATAATGGTAAACATCCACAACATCTTCAGGTGGCTCCTTTAAACAAGAAACAGAAGTGCCTGGTGACACAGCATCATTTGTAAGTATAAATGCATTCCTGTGCCCTCAGGAGCATTAGTTAGTGGGCAATATCAGTGTACCAATAAAAACATAGACAACTTGCTCCTTCTTTACTTTTGGTGTCATAGTTTTTCCCAGGCTTCCCCTCAGGGGCAGGTTGTATGTGTTATAGAGCTGGCCTTTGGCAAAAGGCCACTACCTGGTGGCAGCAGGCCAGGCACAGTCTGCCTGCACTGGGGCACTGTGGTAAGCGATGCCTGTGCCCTCGGCAGGTGTGAACCCTTCTGCTGGCCCAGGGTTATGGCAGCCCAGTGTGATACCAGCAGCTGGCAGCCCCGCCTCATTCGACACAGACTGGGGCAAATAAAGTTCAAGGTAACTTCACAGATCAGTCATATTACTTTTCAACTGCCTGTGTATATAAAAACATGCACTGCCTCACTGTGTGGCAGAAATGCTCTCTCCTGCTGCTGATACACAGCTCCCCACATGCTGTTTCCTGTCACAGGGAACTCTGGCTCTATGGCTACCAAGATCCCAAATAAGAAATTTAGGAAATGTCAGTGTGAGACACACCATACTAAGAGCATCCTGTGTCAGATCCTTAACAAAGAACATGGAAGTGAGACCAAGTGGCACCAGCAGCATCACAGTCCCCACTGCTCCACAGGAATCAAGGACTGTTCTTGCTTGGGTAGGAGAAGAGTTGTCCTGAAAACACCAGAAGCCATGTGCAGAAGAGCTTCTGGAGTGCTCTTGAAGGCTTCAATTTTTATTAGAAACTTGCCTTCTTTTTATCACATGCCTTTGGATGATCAGCTTGTTCTCATACAGCAGAACTGGGCCCCTCTTTTTGTCCTGGACATGGCACAAGAAGGGGTGGATTTTGATCTGAGAGAGATTTCAGTCCCTAGTTTATTGAAAAAAATCCTCCTCAATCAGTCTTTGACAGCTAACAATGATCTGGGCAGCTCATCACCAGGAGTGTCTTTGACAAAAGTTCAGAAGATGAAGAATCTCTTGTGGAAATGCTGGGACCTGGACATAAGTGCAAAAGAATATGCCTATCTTAAAGGAATTATTCTTTTTAATTCTGGTAAGTCCTCCTGGAAACTACATAGATGATTATGGGCTTAGAAAGACATTTGGCATTTTCATTTGTATATAGACAAATGTTTAGTTTTACTCTTGCCTGTGAATACAGCTAAATTTCTCAAAAATCCATATTCCACAATTTAATGACTTTTCTGCTTGAAGTGGTTTATTTCAGTACCTTGGCTGTGTGCAGTAGGTCACCCACTGTAAGCCAAAACAGCTTCTATTAGACAAATTTTAAGTCATAAATAATTAACAGTGCCACTTCAAACTGATTTTCAGTTCAAAGATAACACAGCAGCCTCATCTGTAGTACTGCAAAGGAGAGATGGTACATGGGTACACAATGTGAGTACTGGAAGTTTTTTAACAAAGACTTCCTCTGTAACTCTGGAGAAGATAAAATAATCCTTATCAACTGATTTTCATCAATGAGGCAAAAGGATGCTGCATTGATGTTACACAGCTTTTATTTATTTATATTATTTATTTATATAATTAATATCACTACACTCAAAGCCTGCAACAGCAATCATGGAGCAAACTAAAACTAGTGATTGCATCCTCTCATTTCAGATGCCAGGTTCAGGCTCTTTAGGAAGGAAGGTTTCCTCAGTCAGCACCACGGAGTGCATGAGTCATTAACAGCTCAGCTCTAAGTACACTAAAGTAAATGGAAAGACTTACTGACTCCAGCCTGCTCTGGCTCAGATCCTCGGCTCCTTCCACAGCAATCACTGCTGTTGGCTGCACTGTCAGCAGTGTGCTGTACTTCAGACTGCACCAAAAGGATACATGAATGCTTCAGTTATTCCATTATATTTCTTGTGGTGAATGGTTTATAGGCTGCTCAAAAGCTGTATGACTTTATATTTGTTTCCAATGGGATTCAGATTCTGACTCTTGAGGTGTAATGTCATCCAGATGTTTGGTATTACCTTGTGTGTCTGTGCTGCAGCATCGAATCAGTGGAGTTTGTTTCAGTGCAAGTTATTTTGTCGTTTTTTTCACAGTAAAATCAGGCTAAACAAAACCTCCAGTTATATCTAGGGGGATGCTAAGAAGAGAAATGCCTCATCTGCAGCAGCTTACACAGTTTAACCAGTAGGCATTTTTATTATCTCTGGGGGTAAAATGAGATTTTCACTTGAGGAGAAAGCAGCAGAAGCAGGGTTATGTTCTGGATTTCTGCCTTCTAAGGCCTGGTGCTTCTCTAGGGTGCTGCATGAGAGGGCCAGCAGCCTTGATGCTGTCTGCAGACACATTCCAGTGTTTCAGGAATGTCGCCTAGCTCATAGGTGGGATGAACCTGTTCTCTGGAATATTTCCCCACAAGCTGACGAAGGCAGCCTAGAGAACTTCTGGTAAGCCAAGACTGACTCCAGATGAAACAGTTACAGTCTAACTCTGAGCTGAAACAGGTACTCAGGGCTTATGCACAGCCCCAAACTGCCCTTTGCTGCAAACAAATCTGTACAGCTGTTATTTCACAATTACTATTTTTAAAAGCTTTTTAATACTTTCCACCAAAGTCAGAAAATATTTTCTACATACATGCAGCACATTTTCAAACTTTTCAAGTTTTGGTGTGATGTTTGGCAAAATGTTAATATTCTGCAGGCCTCAGTTCTAAGAGGATTTCAGGGAGCCACCAGCAGTGACAGTGGTAAACCCTTTCTTGGATTCTGAAGTACCTCATGAGGGCTCCCACCCTGAATGTTTTACTTCTGTTAGGACCACCAAAACTGAGGCAATGGGGAAGGGCCAGGTACAGAGCAGTTCAGAGCTGGGTTATGAGTTGGAGTTCAACAGGGCATGCAGGCATGCAGCTGTAGCAGCCATCACTTGCATAAGAAGCATGACAGGTATGACAAAGCCTTGCTTGTGCTCTGGCTGATCTCTTGTGTTACAGATATTGTGCTTACTATCATTAAAAAAATTCCTCTGTTGAGACAGTGGCAGGCAGCATGATGGAATGTAGGTTCTACACTAGAATGCTTGGGGTTGGAAAAGACCTTAAAAATCATCTAGTCCAACCTCCCTGCCATAAGCAGGGCCACCTTCCACTAGATCAGGTTGCTCAAAGCTCCATCTTGACCTTCTGGTCAACTTCCAGGGTTGTGGCATTCACAACATCTCTGGGCAAGCTGTTCCAGTGCCTCACCACTCTCATAGCAAAGAATTTCTGCCTAATACCTAATCTAAACCTACCCACCTTCTTTCAGTTCAAGGCCATTGCCCCTAGTCCTATCACTCCATGCCTTGTAAAAAGTCCCTCTCCAGCTTTCTTGTAAAGCTCCTTTAGGTACAGGAAGGCTGCTATAAGGTCTTCCCGAAGCCTTCTCCTCTCCAGTATGAGTGACCCCAACTCTCTCAGCCTGTTGTCATAGGAGAGGTGCATCAGCCCTCTGATCATCTTTAGGGCCCTCCTCTGGACTTGCTCCAGCAGGTCCACATCCTTCCTATGTTGAGGGCCCCAGAGATGGAAATAAAAGCAGACTGTGCAGCACCTCTCTGCAGGAGGCTCTGGCTGGGTTACTGACTGGCCTCATGTGGGCCTGCAAGAACCTGTAAAGAAGAGAGCGTGTGTCCAGCCCCTGAGGAGAAACAGGCACATTGCATCAGTGGAAACCAGACTCTCCAGAACATATTGGCATCCCTGCTTTTCCCAGGGGAAAAGCTAAGTGGCTTCAAAGAGGTCACAGTTTCTGTGGGTGAAAGGTCCAGCTGCAAGGCTTTCTCTACTAGGACACAGGCAATAAGTCAAAGGAAGAAGCAGGTAGGACTGTTTTGCCACACAGGAACAGCTCAGAGTGAGGTGAAAATGTTCCTGTGCTTTTGCGAATTGTCTGAAAAACTATTGGAACTGCACAGTGAAAGGACAGGAACTGTGAAAAACAATGCTTCTAATTAATCAGTGCCATATATATACGTATTTTTGGAGTGTTTTCTATACATATATATATTTTAAAGCTCCATCAAGGCTGTGACAGGACTTCTATTAAAAAGGATACTCTTAAGAGGTTTATAGTTCAGCTGGAAACATGTGTTTGACTGAGTATTATTACAACAGATCTCAGAACGAGAAGTGTCTTGTTATAGGTAAATTAAACCCAGTGTTTCATTACACAGAAAAGAAGACCAAATGGGGAAATGAAGCGTATTTGAAGGGATATAAACAATTGCAATTTCATTGTGAATATACAAAGTCCTGGAAATTTCCTTTCCATGAAAAATCTAACGCTTGGAACCATCCTCACAGCTTTCAGCTGCTGGTAATCCCAGAGGAGATGACGACTTTTCCAAAGTCTCCATTTCTGGCTAGCCTTGTTTCAAGTTTGGCTGAGACTTCCTCTCCTCTGGCAGTGATATTTAGCAAGAGAGCTGCTGAAGGCCAGCAAAGCTCTTGCTCTCTCTAGCAAGAGAGCTGCTGAAGGCCAGCTGCTGAAGGCCAGTTACAGGTTGAAGAAAACTCAACCAGGCTGGTTTTGCCCTAGTAGAGGGCACCAGGCAAGGAGGCAGAACCTCCCATACTTAAATGAATGACCTTGTGTGAAACGCTCCCTGTTGTAAGCTATTCAGATCCCATCCCAGGGAGGTATGGAGTCAGTCACTGTAAAAGATGCCAAATAGGCCTAGAGTGTGTGCTACCTCTGTCCAGGCTGTAGCAATTCTAGGAAAGAAAAGATGTTGTTATCCTTAGGTGGTGAGAACAGGGGGCAACAGATCACTGAGAGCTACATGACAAGGGAATCCCTCTAGAGGCAAAGGATAAACACAGGGTGTTCTTTGAACTGAGCCCTGGCACGCACAGATGCCCTTGAGCCAGCAGGTCACATGCTATGGGAGGTATGTGATTGAGGCTCAAGACTGTGACTCCATAGGACAGAGACTTCTCTTCTTGCAGAAATGGCTGAGGAAAGGGAAAACAAAACCAGTTACCACTCCTGTGGGTCATGATGCATCTCACAGAGAATCTTTATTCTCTTTTTAGACTGCAAATGAAAGTGTCTACATAGCATGGTGAACCATAGTTTCCCAGCTTAGTCTAGTAACCAGAGGCAACAACAGGGTGGAGATGGGGCTAGGTAGACTGGAGAACCATGTTTTCAGGCTTTGAGCCTGCTCTCTGCTCCAAACCACCATCTCTATCTTCCTGATGTTACCTACCTACTGTAGATTAGAGCTGGAATTTTTCTACCTGCTCAGACTATGGGCTAAGCAGCATTTGGTGGGTAGACAACACAATAAAGCTTCTTCTCCATCTGTACTGAGTCATTTACCTGCTGGTACTATTGCAAAGCTGGATTTTAATGTAACAGGCCAGATTCCTATGTGCTTACAATGCTGCTCAATGCTCCTTCAAATTATCTTCTTTTACGAAAAAGTGTATTTAGGAACTGTTTATTTTTCTATAGAGAAAGTAATGCTATAAGCCAGAAATCCATTGAAGGGCTTAGAACAGAAATGTATACTCAAGATTTGCTATTTTACTTTTTGTTTTGACAGGATGCTGTGTCCTAAAATGTCTCCCATATGTACAAACACTGCAGCAGGAAGCTCAGCAAGCGTTGATGGAGTTTGTCTCAACAATGTTCCATGGAAACCTGGGCAGGTTTGCTTCGATTCTTCAGCTGATCACCTCTCTTCGAGACATTGATGCAGATGCTATTGAAGAGCTCTTCTTCAGGCCCATTGCAGGAGAGGCCATCCTAAACATATTACTTCTAGAAACACTACATATCAAGCCAGTCTGCCTTTGAAAACAGATGACATCTGAGCTCTCAAATACCTATTTTTGAAGAGATTAGAGGTTATTATGAACTGAATAAACACATTTCAAACAAATCATTGATGCATTTTTGTAAGCCATATTTTTTTTTGTACGAAGTATTTTTTTAACATTTCAGAATTAAAGCAGAGAAATCTAAGCATTTCATGATTCTGTGTGCTTTCAAAAATCCTTAGTTTAAAGTAATCAAAGACTGTCTAGGAGCACCAGCATACTTTCCAGTTGTGCTAGGTTCAACCATATTTTTGCTAGTGAGCATTTTTACAGCTGTTTATACTATATGCTTTTGGCTTTCCAGAAGTTTTGGCTTTCAGGAGCAGGGGCAATGGTAAATTTTATTCAGTTGATGTTGAATAGATACATAAAAGGTTGGTCAATGGTAAAATCAGTATAAATCCTTCCTTTTTTTTGGTATGTCAGTCCCTGATCCTAATTCCCTTTTTGTTCCACTGAGAACTCTAGTCCCTTGGCTGTAATTGCTTGATGGACCTCCCCCTTACTAACTGCTTTTTATATGTTCCTTTCTAAGTCTTGCAGTAAACTGTGGGCATTAAATCCCTCTCCCATTATTTACAAAGTTCTTCCCTAAGTAAGAAACTGAACAACATGAATAAAAAATTTGTTGACTAGACAAAAGCTGTTGCTCAGGATTGTTTCCAGGATAGCAATAACAAAGGCTGAAAGCTAGTGTGTCATGCCATAAACAGCAAAACTAATGTAGCCTAGTTTCCTACATATTTAAGACCTTTTTCCTTTAGCCCTCCCTGCATCCTTTTATAATTACCTTCACTTCTCTTCAAACAGATGTCAGATGTTCCTTGGACAGCAGAAATGCTAAAATATGATTTCCTACAGATGTGTACAATCTGTTCCTCCACCTCTCACTGCAAGAGTTCCACGTCTCCACCTCCAAGTACAGTACAGCATTCCCCTTAACATCTGGCTGTCGCCCATCCATCTGGCTGGGGAAGAGACAGCACGTGTGTGCTGGCTTGTCATCTGTCAGGATAAAAAAACCATTAAGCTTAAACTTTAGCTGTTGTAATGGAAGGTATTTGAATCCCTTACCTGTCCCATTCCTCTGCAAATGGTTTCCATGAAACTTAGAGGAATTAATTTCTGAATTTTTTCAGTAGTAGATCCAATTTAGTTTTGTTTGGCAAGGGGTGTCAAATTCACCAAGTGGGTACTGACAGGCAGGTAGACAGACAAGAGGACCAAGAGTATGATAGCTTAATGCACACTGCCTTAGAAGGTCAAGCTAAAATCATAAGAAAGAGAACTCTATTTATATATATGTATATATATACAAATGGACGTCAACAGAGATGGATGTTCAAAGAACTTTCTTTTAAAGTCAACCAAGGAAAAAAGAAGTTAAAAAAATAATAAGAGTTTACTACCTGCCAGTTTTGACAAAAGGCTACACATTTTCCCCCCACTTTGGTAATCGAGGAGTAAATTGTAGAAATAAGGGGAAAAAAGCAAATCCCAAACAATATAAACCAAGTCCCTGGGTACTTGTGATCATGGAAGTAACAACCTCTACAGTCAACAAAACTCACCTTCTTATATTACAAGCTAACCAAACCTTTCAGAAGTGAAGCTTTTTGGACAGATATTTTCCATGGAAAGCCCCCAGAGTAGAAGTTTTCAGCAGAGTTTTTTGTTAAAATGGCTCAATAGTATTGCCACAGACCAACTGGTGCATGGTAACAGGATATTCCATGTTTAGTTATTTGTGATACTGAATTAAAACATTAGTTCCAGACATTTGATTTTTGTCTGTTCTTAAAATTTAACCAAGCAGTATACATCCAAAAGTGGTATTTGTACATTTGGTATCAACAATATCATTTGGCAGCAGACACACAAATTTCTCTCTCTCGAACACCTCCCAAGTCCTAACAGCTTCTACCTCTACAACAGATGCTCCACTTGCACAATGAAAGTGCAGTGCAGGTCCGGGTGGAAGGAGCAGGACCCAGCTAGCCTTGCACATGCAGCAGCTTCTGCAACGGGAATGGGAAGAGGATCTCTGCTCTGATCTCAGTGCTCCCATTGCTATTGTGAAGAGAGCAGAGAGGTAAAGAAATACCCTCAGCTCAGTGGGAAGAGTGAGGAATTTTAGACAGAGGTATAAAACACAGAAAACATGCAACATGAGAAACAGTCATGGGGGCTTAGAGAGAGGAACAGCAAGGGAGATCAAAAAAGGCAGGAGAGGGGGACAGAAGTAGCTTATTAATAGAGCTCATTTCTGTGTAGAGTCCAGTTTACTTTCATAAGCCAAAGTCCTGCTTAGTGACTCACCAACAACCTGAATCCAGGACAGGGTTCACGGTTCAGTAGCCGGAATTTCAGACTACTGAGAACATACCAGACAGTCTCTGTTCACAACTTTGCTTCTTATCAAAATCTACTGCAAGGTCTTTGACTTTATCTGTAAGATATACAATGGCTTCAATTCAACTCTCCTTGAATTGGAGGGCGCAATGCCAACAAGTTCCCATGGCTTGGCTCACCTGGAAGATAGTGCTGTATTTGCTGATGGCTCTTAGCCTGGTGTGTGTCTGTGTAACCAGTTGTCTGAAAAGAATGCCTAGCACTCCACAGTAAAGATCACAGTCAACAGTTTGGGTTTTCAAGATGATTTGACCTTCTACCGTGAAGGCAAACACCAGGCTTCAGAGGGAACTCCCACAAGATCTGATACTCATGGACCTCACCTCACTATTCTCTGAATACAAGATTCAGTCCTTCAACACGTCTTTAACAAATCACATCTTTAGTCCTTATGCAATGAAAAAACTCAACAACCTTGAGCTAATGCTCTATGTAGGCTAACATTCCCCATCTCACAGACCTGATCACAGAGGGAGCATGAATTGTAATAATCGTTTGCTTGGTATCCTGTTCAAAGAGGCTGAGATAGTACTGTCTTGCTGAGGACAGTAAGAATCTGTATCTACTGTAAATAAACTGCGTATGAAGGTGGAGGCTATGCAGGTACAAGAAACAGGCAGGAACAGGAGAGAAGAGGGATCATGAGCAGAGGTTAGGAGCAAAAGCAGGAGCCCTCCCTGGAAGGTGGAAAGGCACAGCACAAGATAGCCTTTAGAAGCCAATGGAAATAATGCATTGGAATGAAGAAGCAGAGACAAATGAACAGAAGGCAAAAGGAAGACAAGGGAAAATCCTTGCTTCCCCCTCTCCCCAGCAAAAAAAAAAAAAAAAAAAAAAAGAGAGAAAGAGAGAGGGAGAGAGAAACAATGAGGAAAGAAAGGCTTGTCACCACTTATTTTAGCTTCTGGAATTGAAACCAAAAGCAGTTTCTCCAGCTGTGGAATCCACCAACAAAGTATGTGTATCCATCTCCCTCTAGCGCCCAGGAGACGACAGTCTCGCCATCACTTAGAGTGTGAGCTTAGCTGATGGAAACCTGCCAAATAAAGTACCTAGTGCTGTTGATGACCCAGGCAGAGCTTTCACTCAGAGACATCTTTCCTCTCCCAGTTGCTGACTTGTTCAAAATAGTGTACAATATTTGTAACTTGTCAGAAGAAATCTACATTTGCAAAATCAAGAATGAAAAAGTAAATTCAATTTACTTGTGAAATCTTACTCCATACTTCTTCTGAATATTATCATAAGCTCTTTTAGTGACCTGATTACAAACTCCGGTGGTTTTCCCTCAGGACTCCCTGCCTTACTTGGAGCAAAGGATGGCCTGTGCTGGTGGAATTTGTTATGACTGCAATGGAGGAGGCTGCTGTCGCCTAAGGCTCAGCTGCTTTTTTTGCAGCACTAACATTGCAGAATATGGATTAAAATGGATCTACAGTGACAGAAGCAATGCTCCTACAGTTAAATTGGACAAATGACACCTTATAGAGTGTGGGCCAGCCAAGTGAATTCAGGTGGCATTATTCCAGAGTGATAGTGTCCCAGAAAAAGGCTGTAACTAACAGCGTTAATTGGAGTAAAAGTTTTTTGTTTTTCACAGTGGCAAACACAAGGCCTGGGAAATGGTGGTTTGCAGAAGTCACTAGTGTCTCACAGTTGCAATCCAGGTCCCAATAGGCTGTGTCTCACACTTCCAAAATAAAGTATAGTGCTGTAAGCACTGAAAAATCAGTCTGTGCACACTCAAAGTTCGGGGAAGCTTTCAACAACTCTAATCTTGACACTTTCATTCCTCTTTTGTAAAAGGAAGTGGGTGTAATATTACCTTTTTTGTGACACATCTTTGAAGATAATAATCAATGTTTGTAAAGAGCTAACAAATACTGTACTTGAGCACATTAGAAAGTCACACTGAAAATTATTAAATTCAGTATTCTATGCTATATTCAACAGCACAGACTAAAATAATGCAGAGGCTTATGCATTACAGGGAAAGGATAAAAAGAGAAGATACTGAAGAGTAAGATTTAGTAAGCACCGAGTAAAAATAACATGTCATTTGCTATGGTGGGACCCACCTTGCGAGCAAGTCACCTGCACTCTCCCTAGAGCACAGAGAGAGGGGTATGCTCTGAGGGAGGTATGCCTCCCTTCTCTCGTACCTACCTTAATTTTGGATGAACCACATTATTAATTGCTTTACCTCTGCCTATTGATACAGCTGAGGAACCCACCTGACTACTTGTGATTCATCATCTGACTTTCAGATGGTAAAAGTGAGATTAATCCCACCTCTACAACGTATACAGAAATGATCTGGATCTGGTTTGCACCTGCAATATTAACTTCAGCATTTTCTAATTAACATTAGAAGCATGCTTGGATTTGCAGTCCTGGTCTTTAAACAATATGTTTTAGACTTGTGCTTTAACCTAAATGTGTATTTCTAATTAATGAAACCTGATATAGGCTTGGAAAGAAAAATAATTCTCTGATTTTATTCACCTGCCCAGAAATCACAAAAAAGACACATATAGGTCATTCTTAAATCTATGTCCTATCTAT